GCCAGGAGGCTCATGGCGCTAGCTGCCGGCGTCTCCCCGCGCCTGCGGCCGCTGGACCTCCACAGTGTCCGGCGCCAGGGACGCTCGCGCGGGCTGTCGTCCAACCTCGCCCGCCCCGACAGCGCGAAGGAGGCGGCCGAGCCAGGGGCGGAGCCCGGGGAGGGCGACGCGAGCATGGTGAACGGTGAGGCGCCGGGGCTGGGCGCGGGCCGGTCCGCCCTTTGTCGGGTTTAGAGCTCGGGCGACGCAGGCTAAGCGGGCCCGCGGGCGCCTGCCCCTGGCGGGGAGGTCAGGCGGGGGCCGCGCGGGGTGGGCAGAGCAGATAACGTCCGGCGCCTGCGGGGTCCTCGGGCCCCCCGGAGGTGCAGCCTCGGGGCTTCGGCGGCGCAGACGCGGGCAGGACGACAGCTGTGTGCCGGCTGAGCAGCGCGGAGCCGGTGGGGACCCGCCCCGCTGCCCGCCCCCGGGGCTCTTCGCGTGCGTCCGTGGGCCCGCTGACCTTGGCTTCGGCCCTGGCAGAGTCTCCTTGGGCTTTGTTAATGGCTTGACTCCTAGTTAATTCATAAGGTGGCCTTTGGGCCGGAGATCTAGGACTACCCACAAGGAAGCAATCCCAAAGCAGGCAGCGAGGTTACGTCGGAACTCCTGGAGTGGCATCCGAGCAAAGGGAGCCTAGCCCTGCGTCGCTGCCATTGCCGTGTGCCCTACGGGGCCACAGTTCCCGGCGCTGTGAGAGAAGTTCCCAGTGATTATAACCAAGCAAGTGCACCGGCTCGCGGGGTAGCCGCCGAGTTCCGTTCTGCAGCTGCTTTAGCTGGAGACCGCGGGCTGTAAATGAAAGGCCCTGTCTCCTGCGCAGATCTGTCTCCAGCTGTGGAAGGGCCACACGGGTGCTTTGGGGCTGGGCCTTCTTTAAGGGACGGCTCCAGCCTTGTGTGGGCTAGAAGCTTCCTCTAGGTGGTCATCTTACCTGTCTACTTTGAGGTTGATATAAAGAAAAAGTGGTAGAAATGAGATCTCTCCTGGTATCTGATGCGTTCTTCCTCTTGATGGCTGAGAAGTCAGGAAAGGAAATGGCTCACACCTGTGTCCATGCTGTGGCTTCCTTGATCGACTTATACGCCGTCTGGCATTAGAACCAGATACACTGTCTGGCATTGCGTCCTTGTGGGTAGTGCTGCAGTTTGTTGAGGAACAGGTGAACTCTGAGGCCTGTTTTTCACAATTTGTAGCTTGCTACTGACCTATACACAGCCGCTTGTGTGTGTCTCGCTTTGGGGGAGCCCGGGTCTCCAGTTAGTGTGTATGGAGGACGTTCGTTCTTTGGTTTAGTGCCTTCTTTCATACATCATGGGGCGGGGGAGTGTTCTGTAGGTCATGTATAGTATCAGGAATTTGCGCAGGAAAGAGGATGTTGGCTGCTTTTATTTTCCTCCATGGAGAACTTAGTTCATGGGTGCAGCCAAGGCAGTGCAAAGTTGTTTTTGGTTATTTGGGGGGAATCGAACTCAGGCAGGTGCTGTGCTGCTGGAACTATGTTCCTGGCCCGTCGTTCTTTTTAAACCAAAATAAGCAAATGAGATCTGCTAGCTGGTTCCCTTCGGTGGTGTATGGGTCATTGGCTGTTCAGGAGGTGTGTCCCCATTGCCCTGGAAACCCTAAAGCTGGTCCTCCCTCCTTTTTCATTGTGCCCCTGGGTGACTCAGGGTCACCAGCCAGTTGCCCCTGCATCCCCCTGTGGATTGCTTTGTTACACAGCCTATAGAGATTTTAAAAAGAAATGAACAGCTGTAATGTCTTTGTTCTTATTTTCTTAGCTTCTAGGGACCTGTTAAAAGAGTTTCCACAGCCCAAAAACCTTCTCAACAGTGTGATCGGCAGAGCCCTGGGCATCTCACATGCCAAAGACAAATTAGTCTACGTGCACACGAATGGACCGAAGAAAAAGGCAAGTGTACCAGCGGTGGGGGCCCTGCTTGACGTGGACGAGGCTGTGTGCCCAGCGGTGGGAGCCCTGCTTGACGTGGACGAGGCTGTGTGCCCCCTCTGGCTCAGGTGTTTTTGTCATGGAGGCCAGAGTGGCTTTTCTGAGTTAGGGTGGTCAGCAGAGTCTGAAAACAAACTTCAGGTTGAAGAAGAACCAGAAAATACAGGCGCTTGCTAGGAAAAGCGAGTGCAAGGCACACGAAGCAGTGAGTCCTGCCTGAGCCAGGCCCCTGCCCGGGCCCCTGGTTCTAGTCCCCTGCTGACCCAGCAGGGCCACAGGGGGCTTGAGGTTGATGGTGAGAATTCCTCCTTCCAGTCTTGTAGGCCCTAGGATCTGCAGAAGCGGGCACTAGACCACTCTACGTGAAAGTTTTGAGAGCCAGGTCAGGTGTGTGCCTTGTCTAGAACACGGCATCTTCGGGAAGCCAGAGCACTCACATTTCTATGAGTGGACTGAGGGGAGGGCGGTAGAGTGAGAGCGCGTCTGTGCTGGGCTGGGGTTCCGTCCTGCCCCTCACCCAGAGTGGCCCAGCACGTCATTCTGCGAGGAACTCGGTTTTGCTGTTGCTTCTCCCTGTGATTTGCAGCAACTCTGATCCAGAGAGACCGCTTGCCTGATCGTTTCTTCTCTTCCCCAGAAAGTCACCTTGCACATAAAGTGGCCCAAAAGCGTAGAGGTAGAAGGCTATGGCAGCAAGAAGATCGACGCTGAGCGGCAGGCTGCAGCTGCGGCCTGCCAGCTGTTCAAGGTAACACCCTGCCTTGCGTGCTGCTTGCCCCGCGCGTGTAGCGTCTCTGGTTCCAGGGACATCTTGGTGGGGTGGACACAGTGTCCAGCCACGCGCCTGCCTGGAGCCCTTTCCACTCCTTGTGCCTCCCCTTTGTCAGCCGTGAAGGAACGGGCTTTCCTTTGCAATGTTCCTTTCTTCCTTTCTCCCCCTTTCTCTCCTTTGCTGCTGCACACTGGCTGTCTCCTGTCTGCTTTCAAACACTACAGAGTAGCCTTTCATGAGGACCGTAGATCAAGCACAGTGGCATTTTTCCGTTTTGATCTCTGCTTCCCCGTTCTCCTGCGGGTCTCACCCAGCCGCAGTACCCTCGTGTCGGGAAGCGTGGCGTCGCTTGTTTCCTGGCGGCCGCGCATTAGAGGGTCATCACTGTCGCTCAGTGTCTCTCCTCCCTAACTGGCCTCCTCTGTGGCCACGCCAGCCTTGACACAGGTCTACATCTCCACCCTGGTGAGGACAGAGCCTGGCGCACGTGTTCCCTCTGCTCCCGCTCCTGCTCCAAGGGAGAGGGGCTCCCTTGTCCTGTCTCGGCCGTGGGCCCGCCCCACCTACCCCTTTTCGCTGTCCGCTCTCTTTCTGGTTACCTCTCTGTCCCCTTTTGTCTTTTTTTTTTCCCCCTTCTGTCTTGAGGTGAGTTTCACATCTGTTCTTGTGATTCCCCCTTGTAGGTCTCAAACGTAGTGTCTTGATCGCTTCCCTTTGCTGTGGTCCCAGTGCAGATTGTCCCTGTGCCTGTGGTTTGCATTTTGTCCACTCCATTGTCGTCTCTGGTCTCGGTTACCTTCGCGTCCCCATAGAGTGTGGCATTAGCTGTGGTCACCGGTGACTGCTGAGTGCCTGGCCCAGGCCATCAGCAGAGCCGTTAGGTTTTCCTTGGCCTCGCTGGGCTGCAGTGCTCTTGCTCTGGCGTTGCCTGGTGACCCTGCTGCCCTCCCCCTCACCAGCCGTCTGAAATATCTTCTCTAGTCCTTGTCCCTGGGATCTGAGGATCAACCAGCCTCTCTTTCATGTTGAGTGTTTCAAAACCTGTGTCATGGAGGGGTCTCAATGCAAGAGGATTTTACCTCCCAGGGAGTTTTTTTTTTTTTTTTTGAGACATGGTGTCGTTATATAGCCCAAGCTGGCCCTGAACTTGGGATCCTTCTGCCCCAGTGGCGTGAGTACCACTGGGGCAGCTCTTTCACTTGAAACAGGGTTCTGTTGAGCCACTCAGTTGCTTAGGCTAGGCATGAACTTGCAGTCCTACGTCGGCCTCCTGGAGTGCTGAGATTACAGGTGTGTTCTGGCCCTTTTCCTCCTCCTGTATCTTGCTAAATTGCCTAGTTTGGCCTCAGACTTGTGTTACCTACCTTGACTTCCTGAGTCAGCAGTGGTTTTTCTTTCTTTGAAAAATACCAGCAGAACTGTGATAGAGATTGCTGTGAGCCTGTGTATTGCTTTTGGAAGTGTGGATATTTTTACAGTACTGATTTATCTAGTCATGAGTAGCTTCCAGTGTGTCTTTTTCAGTTTCTTTCATCCTTGTTATATACTTTTCAGCGTACAGATCTTTTACCGCCTTGGGTTAGACTCACTCGTAATTATTTTATTTACTCATTTATTTAAGAAGAGGAAAATTTACGTAGTTATTCTTCTCCACTTTTTGTTGTTAGCCCACGCTTGGAGTACAGAGCGAGTGACTCCTCGTGGGGAGCTGGTGCGTGCGCATGCACGTAACGCATCTGAACTCCTTTCACGCCCCCTCCCCTTCCTCTCCCTCACCCCTATATTTCTGCTGCTGTCGGAAGTGGGGTCACTCTTGTTTCGTTGTCAGACTGCGATTGGAGTGCAGAAACACACCTTATTTTCACGTGTTGACTTTGTACCCTTCAACTTGTGCTGGATATTTTTGTGGTGTGTGTGGCTTTAACACTTGTCCTTTCTGCTGACTGCCCTCCCACCTCTGACCCTGTGTCTGAAGTTGCGTCTGCTGGTGTGGGCTGCGCTCACTGAAGCTTCTAGATCACTGCAGAAT